GATAGTCGCGAAGAGACACGCCTGGTGATGTTCGTAAGATCTGGTTGCTTTTTAGTCTGCTTTTGAAAATTTTCTTCGTTTTCTTTGAGACGAATATTTTTTTTGAAGAAAATCTCACAAATCATTTCCTAACTGTTTCCTAGGTTAGTGCATTTTCACCACCAAGGTAACTTTATCATTTCCATAGCTTCGCTTGCATTTTTTCTCCGTTCAATCCAGCTAAACACAGAGAAAAGCAAAGTGCCATAAACGACTTCTTTGCGTTTGGCGACAGCTTGTAAATAACTGGACTAATACCGCACAACCGCCAATGGCCAAGTTACCTATACGCGTCATGTACGTTTATGAGGCAAAGTGATTCGTAGTTAGTATTCTAGAAGCAACTCTAGCAAGCAGTCATCTTGGAAATAAGTGAACTTGCTTACCTTCTTCTTCGTTTTTCCAACGCGAGTTGATGCAGCTTGATTGTAATCGCCTATCAGCAATATTTTGTCTACATTACTTGTCTTGATCTTTCTTGTAAATAATTTGTGGCATTTTTTTACCACAACTTTACAACAAAATTTAATCAATATAATGAGTGAAGATTTTGTCGAAAAATGCATATTTTGTTATTGATTCATTTTAATCAGTCAATGGTTATTTTTTATCACGTTTTCATTTACTGCATACAATTCATACAATACACGTAAGTCTATTTTATTTAGTAATAGTTGTGTAAAAAAGTTTTAATCATTCTTCGATCATTAATTCTAAACAAATAATGATGATGATTTGACACGCGATACGACACGCGGGCGATTTAGTAACACGCGTCCATCTATTGCGTACGCATATGAAACATAAGAGCGCAGGCAAACATTTGTGAGTCTAGACTCATTCGCATGCGGTGAATATACACACCCAGGAAAAATATAAATTTGAAAAGGAAATTAAGAAAAACAGAATAAAATTAATGTGTTTGGGGTCAATACGGAATATTGTTATTATTGTTGCTTAATATGATAAAGAGAGCGGTAGAGAAAGGTTAAGGGATTAACGAACTTTATATATTAAGGACTTAAAATTCGCCGATTAAACTTATACGAATTGATGTATGTATACATTTCGTATTCTTATTTCAGAGTAAGTTTGTATAGGAGATTATTTTTTTCGTAGCGTAACGAACAAAGCAACACAGATTTTAGGACAACGATTTAATATAAAAAAAAAAAAATTAAATTTCAGAAATTATGTCCGAGTAACAGATGTGGTTTGCCTGAAATCTAACTGGAATTGTGTATATAAATTTAATTCTTGCCACACGATTCCGATGCATCCTTTGACTTTCACTGGGTTTGTTTGCAATCTTTTTATTTTTTAGAACCACTTCCCGTATAATACCTCATATTGCAGAGTCATTATTTGAATAGTGTTGTAGTTCGACGTAGGGCATTTAATCGTTCGCCATTACTAACCATTATCGAGTTTTTACTTGTTTATTTTAGGGAAGAAATTTTCCTGAGGGAAGAATTTCCCTGAGAAGATCTCAAAGATAAATCGGGGAGCTCTGACAGGCTAACCAAAAATTTGGCTGATGAAATTCTGGATGATGGTTTAGAGAATATGCTCCGTTATCCCAAAATCACCTTTAGTGAAGTCGCTGAAGTATTTTATTATTTTATAAGGATTATAAAATAGGATTTCGAATAAGAAGATGGGTTTGCCGGCAAACTGATTGGATTTTCCCAAGCACTTTCTTCAAGCACTTTCCCAAGCTCAAATAGGCAATAGGCCGTTTTTTAAAGAGCAAGAAACGTGCGTTGAATCTATTGAAATGTGAAAATCCTTACTAAGGATATCTTACTTATGTCTGCTACTTTGGAGTGTAGTTGGCGCACCACGACTTTTAGTCATCTAATAGTATAGCTACGAAACTAGGAAACTTTCGCAGTCGGCATGAAACGATCTATAAAAAAAAAATCTATGCTTTTCAGAAGCAACTTTAGTGAATTTAGCCCCACGACAAAGTACTGATGCGTGTCGCTTTCCCTATCCAATATCTCTAACTTTGGGTGCCGGAAATTGCTCTATTCTGCAGCAACTGTACAATGTATTTTAGGTACTTATGGGATAAATTCAAATTAGCAAACCATTCTCAAGATATTGTATATGTAACCGACGACATGTGGTCGTTGTTAGATGACGAAAAGTAAGCAAATAAGTAGAGAATAATTTTACGAAGTAAATTTGAAATAGACAGTCATTTCATATTCATCTTGTTCCTGAAGGGAAATTATTTGAAGAAGTTGTAAAGCATCACTTTTGCAGACTTGTCATCCAAGTTACGGATCTTTACCACTTCGTTGCAGTTTTTGATTTCATTCTAAACTGATTTCATACGATTCCAGCTGCATCCGTATATGCCTTCTTGCTTGTACGAAGGAAGTTATTGCTAGTCACCAGACTGCACAGCTCATAGTAATAGACGCTGATTAAGTGAAAACTTTAGTCTAAAATCTCACTCATGGTCGATTGAATAAATTCTTATCCAATGCAGAAAATAGCAATGCCTTTCAAGAGAGAGAGAGAGAGACAGAGAACGTTGTAAATTTTTTCTTTTATTTGATAAGATTACTAATAAACGTATTTGATTTAATTCCGAGCACCTAATGGCCAGAAATTATTGTTGAGCAAGCGTCATAAAAGCGAAGAAACGGTTATCTTGGCAAAATTGAAAGACGAACATTCAGTGAACGCAGAAACAGCTGGATTTAGTTGATTATTAATAATTGTTTTTAGTCCGCATTTGCCATAATCATCCGGTGAAATGACATTCTATATGGTTGACACTGCAGCATTGTAAACTGAGGCAACCTATTGTCCTTTAATGAATATACAACAACAACTGAATTATGCTTAAAGTAACCGTGACCTGACCGAGTAAAACGATTATCACATATAACAAGCGGCGGCTGATGATTAACGATATGATGGCATACAAAAGAAATGCTTGGATTTTTTAATAGTTTCATGTTATATTACAACAACAATTTCATGTTATTCTTATTATGAATAAAAGCCAAGTATTGAAATGTGTGCAGGCAGCTCTTGTTGCATTTTTCATTTATAAATTATGGAATTTTATTAAATTTATTTTTCACTTATTAAAAGAAAAACAAAAACAAATTTCTTCTTGTTATTTATTTATTTATTTTTTTTGTTTTTTTTTTTTTTATTATTTATTTCGTTTACGGTTTTAAGTCAAAGAGAATTGTAATTTGATATTAGCTGATGAAAAATGTCTTTGTCTTCTATTGTATTATATTGTCAAAGATTTTCAATAGATAGACCATCCTCTAACCGAAAGATAGACGATGGATGTCTACCGTACGTAGTTAAACAAAAAAGTCATTGAATATCAACACAAATGTTTATGTTGTTTGTAAATATCGGGTTTTAGTTGTTTCTTCCACCACCACTTTATCTACTATTGTTATGAGTACTGCACTCATATACACACCCACAAACGGCAAACAAGACACTATTCAAATTGCGCATTACAAGGATGCATTTTTCTTCTTCTTTGCGTCCGCTTTGTTTGTTTTATACTTTTTAACTTCTTGAAGGGAAAAACAATATTAGTTTTCTTCTTTCTTTTCCCTGCTGACGATGCTCTCTCGATCGTACGTAAACTCTTAGGTATTATTTGCGAAAAATTTTCTTTGTGAAAAACAAAAATCAAACAAAAGGGAACGACGACAATCACTAAAAATTCAAAGATATATATATATATACTAGTTTTTGTTTAGCATTCGCGAGGGAAAGCGAATGTCGCAGCGAATGTCTGAAATTATTTCTATTAGCAAAGGTCGATTATGGCAATGGTTTACGTTTCCGTACATCAAGTAAAAATTTTTTCTTATTAAAGATTTTATGGCATCCTTCCATAAAACTTCTCTCTTTTCTCTTTTCCTCTCATCAGTATATTTAAGTGAAATTAAGAGAAAATTACAAAAAAATTATATAATTTTCTCGAACACCACAACTTAAGCTAATTTGCATCGACTTTCCGATAACATATACCGATAACACATCCATATAACTAGTGTCCGTCTGACTGTCTTGTTGTCTTGTGTTCAATATACAGACCGCAACTTTTGTAGACGTTTTGACAAAATTTGTTATACTAGCGTGTTTTCGATCAAGAAGGAAGCCCTCTTGAAAATGAGCTGGATTGGATCACCGTTACGACTCCATCTCGCATAATCCTTTGTTTTAAAAAGAGTCATTATATTAGAAAAATTTACAATTTGTCGAAATTTTCTAGCGAAAATCGTAAATAGTATTTTTTGACATAATAAATTGATGTGAAAAATTTGACTTGGATGGATCAATGTTTGGAACCATCTCCCGTAAAAACTTGTCTGCAGAAATAGTGTCTTTTCGTGGCAGAAAAATCTAACTTTTAATAGCTCATATTGCGAAAATCGATCCATTGTAATCATTTAACATAAACGTTAACTGTACTGCGTTTGGACCACGTAAGTCTATTTTTAGTACAAGAAAATTCGAACTTTATATGGTAAAAAGGTCTTACTTTTCATACTTTCCGTAGGGAAGCCTTGACATCAAATTCAAAAGTACTAGACAAATTTGGACTACATAGATCTATTGTTTCGAGACGTCTTCATATAAGAATACTCTAAGTCATAGTGTGTGTGCGTAAGACAAGCAATGTAGTGTAATTTTTACTTAACGAAATGAAGTAAGCAAAAATCTTTTACGAAAAAAGTAATTTTGTGTGATTGTAACTATGTCACCCTTTACTTTAAACGACAGTTCGCGTTTTGGACTCCTATGCATACAAGGCCTTTATTTGCGAACAAAAGCCACGTATCTAATTTTTTTAGTATTTTTTCATGAAAATAGATGAATATCAGTATTAGTTGTAATTGCGTAGAGTATTTAACAGTTAGCTTAGCCCGACAATAATGTTTTTGCTTTTACTTCCTTTCCAGTTATGCTGTCATGATTGGACTCATTGAAATTTTATCAAGGCGTTGTATGAAAATTCGTGAATCTATTGAGAGTCATCAAGGTGTGGTGTTATCATTGCTGGCAACACTCGGTTTCATAACAAAATTTATCGATGTCTGTCCCGTTGGTAAGACGAAGAGACTTTTAATTTAATAATCGTTTTTATATTTCGTTTTTTTCACAATTAAAACAGGTCCTGCAGATTCTACACGATTTCTAAGCTCGGCAAAGTCCACAGAACTTTTTGGTTCAATTTCAATGCTCTATGCCAGCGTCGTCCCTATTGGTAAGTTTACAAGCAACATTATAAGTAAGAGCTAACTTTACTACTTTACTGTTACCTTATAAAAGCGTTAAGGATATAAGTCACATTACCTTGGAACCTTTTTTTTACGGGATTTTATCGTTTAATTTAAACATATTTGCAAGAAGGCTTTACAATTAAAAAGTTATTGTTAGCGACCTATAAATTATGGTTGAGGGCGGTTAAATTAATCGGTAAAGCATGACAGACGAAGCCACACCCATAATTAATAAATTAGAATGTTTGATTAATTGATCCATTGGGATCGAATGGGTTTTCAAAACTCAATATATGTGCAATCAACTGTGATCGGAATGCAATAAAACACACAAGCAAAACAAATTTCGGAAAAACTATTACCCAAATATTTGTCAAAATCGCCAGCATGATAAAGGCGTGAATCATCACGATGTTGTTTAATCTATATCTAATCGATAAAATTTCTATTCCACAATGTTTTCTAATCGAATAAAGAACTTTTTAATGAATTTAGTGCAAATTCAAAAGGCCCTTAGAAAGAGCTAAAAAAGGTCGTTTGTGGATGGAAAAATTTCTAAATTCTATTATATTACGCAATAAGTATATATATATATATATATATATATATATACATAATATTTCTAAAACGTGTGCCTTATAACTATCGTTATGGTAAGAAAATACCAATACCTTACCAGACCTTATTATTAATGAGTTACATGATTACATTCATATAAACGATGTTAGGAAGTGTGAAAAAGTTGTTCGACACCGGTGCACCCAGATACCTATATGCCAGCCTTATAACCGCTAACTGTCGACGTACAAGTAAACCGATTAGGACAATTTTTGCGTTAAACATGCAGGTAATTGTGACAAATATCTATCTCAGATATACGATATAAATCGTCACTTTTCTAGAGCTTATTGTTTTTCTACTCCTATTTTTAGAATAAGTGGGATGAGTGTAAAAACATTTGACCGCAGCCGAATATAATTTTCGTAATTTTTCTTTTTTGTTTCAATGTTGTGTTGTTTGCAATATTTTTTGTATGTGTATTACGCTGATGTGCGCAATCGAAAGATAAACCGATTTATTTGATTTGATAGTATCGACAATGAACAATGGATTAATGATAGATTAGCTGAACGGACGAATCACCCATTTCTGGCCTATAGTAAGCAAAATAAGTTTTATATATGCTTAAAATATAAGTATTTTGTGTTGACGAGTATATTCGGCTTTTGCAAAAAAAAAAATTTTTTTGTTTTCTTACTTACTTCCAGGACCTATTGACCGATTCATTGATTATATAAGTATTTCCAGATCGTTAGATCGTTAACATACAGATATATAATATATATATATGTGTCACATATACAGCTTTGCTGTAAGTTAATATATTTCCCATAAAAGGTAATCACTTAGCTGAAAGTTAGCTTTCGCTTTGCTAAAAGCTTAATTTTTCCTACGTTGTTTGAAGGAATTTATATACACTCTTGTGTTTTTTAAAGGTATTGCCATATATAAATTGATAGAAGTAAAAAAAGGAACGAGAAATAAATCCAAGTTTAAATCACACTGTTTTGTAAAAGTCAATCACACTTTCACTTCCGACTGTAGCGCCACTTATCATCAATAAGTCGTTGCGTGTATTTGCACACTGAAGTGTGCACACTTTAAGCGTTCACGGCAGCATGTAGGTAATCTCGGTGCAATACATGTGTATAGGTGTAGATATAGTGTGAAGTGTAGTAAACTGTATTTATGTGAAAGTTATGTACTTGCTCCATAAAAGCATAACTGCATAACTGCGGCGGCTATAAATGTTATATCTTATAGGAGAGATATTTGGAAAGTAATCAAAACACTGATTTTTTCGCTTTTTTTTTTTTTTTTTGGTCGTTATTTTTATTAGTTTTTCTTAAATATATTTTTCTGATAGGTGAAAGCATTCCACCGAGAACGATTTCGTTAGCGGCTGCAACTTTTAATTTACTCGTTTCAATGGCTGTGCTGGATGTAAATACGTTCCAGGTAAATTATTTTCTATTTTCGTTAAAACACTACACATATATTGTATCATCATCGCAAGCATATTTTTACAATTATAAATCAACTCTCCATGAGTGCCAAATGCTTTTGCCAAAGATGACTTCTTAAGTGCAAAATCCATCCGAATAAAAGCTAATGCGTGACTAATTCTTATTTTTAGGTTTTGCCTCTGTTTCCTTAATAATTTCCATTCCATACCATTTTATATAAAAGCCCAATAGATATTTAACTAAACAATCAGTTCATAGTACCAATGGTACTTACTTATGTTCATATTACAGAGAATTATTAAGAAAACAAATCATTTTTAATTTGTTTGACTGGGTGCTGAAAGTATTAAATCAAATGTAAATATTTTTCAAAGTAATTTATTCTGAAGAAGGCTAACGCCAACAAAAACAATTGATTAAAAAACATGAAGGCACAGAGTAAAGCACATATATATACACATATATATACATATATATATATATATATTTGCATAAGTGTATGAAACTAAAATGAAAAGGACGTCAGACGAACACCTACGCACATACATAAATGCCACAGACAAACACAAACACTTCAGACTGAATTTAAATCCTTTCTTTTCTTTGTATTTTGCAAAAGTTTTCATAATTTGTCTTCTTCTTGTTTCAAAAATAATAAAATACAAATATATATATATTCGTATATTTACGTATGCGTATGCATTATTTTTTGTATTTTTTTTTTTTTTTTTTTTTTTTTTTTTTCTACAGATATCTACTTAAATATGCAAAAAGTAGAAATATTCAATTCCCAAAGTAAACGTTGAAAACTTTTTATATAACTAATACGAGCAAGAAAGCAATCATGAAGTAACGAATAGAATACGCATAGTCAACATAATCTCTAACGGATATAGTGCTACTAGATGCTACTTGAAACTTTACCCATTGAAGAAAACATTGGCTGGTGTGCATACATACGTGCAGAGTGCCGAAGTTGTATATGTCCATACTTGAATATTTTTGCAGTCAGTCGTTATTAAAGCATAGAGTATACTATGTATTTTATTTCTTTTGTAACACTTGGAAATATTCATAGTCCTATAATTAGCCTGAGAAGAAAGTGAGGCAGTTGAAGTCGTAGCTGAAGTTCTTGAAGATGTAAAGAATTTTTATTGAACGTTAGTGTTTTAGTCATAATTTTTTTTTGAGTTTTGGAAATAAGTTTCTTACATATATTTTTAATTATACGACAAATGCGTGTGCAGTTATTTGCATTTATGTACAACGGAAGCTTTCAAGCCAGCGTCTACGTTGAACTGAGAAGAAAACAATGCGGGTCCCCAAATTAATCTCTAAGGACCAACACACGTCAAGGCATGACGATGTGCAAATGACTTTGGGCGCGTAAGAGGATGAACGGGGTGATTCGTTTCACAATCTGCCAACTATTAATGAGACTTGAATCTGCTACGAAACAACCCACTAGCACTCACAACTTAAGTTTTCGAAAGTTGAGCGCACTAAATGGATTTTCAAACGGTTGCTCTTACTGTGTTCCGGAATAAGGACGGCATTAGCTAGCGTCGATATGTTGAAGACACCGTCGATCATTCTCATTTTAGACAAGAAAAGCTGTTATTAAATTTTGTTTAGAAAAAGAAATTCAAGAAAATAAAACCGTTTCCTTCCTGTGCCCCCTTTTGTCGTTCTATCTATATTGCTTGAGAATACGTTTGCCTTAAAGAGAGATCTTTAGTTGAGAAGAGAGTTCGTCGGAATGCTTTCCGCTCCAAGTTTTTTAATTAATATCTAAAGCAAAGTGCATGTGGACATCACTTTAAGGCCATAAGTTATTGATAGAAAAATAGATTCTTTCAAGCAACGTCCTCTAAGTAGGCAAGCAAGCTTCTACTCAGAAGGCATTGTGGATTAAGGACGAAGAAGAAAAAGATCTGTAAACAGATTCGCAAACGTAGCAATGCAGGAATAATTAAATGTAAAAATAAATTGAAATTTTTTAAGCTCCTTTTTGAGGTTCAATAATGCATTTACAGCGGGTAGATCCCTAAACAATTTTGAATGATCGAATCCAATTTCAATCTCTCGCCTTTAAGAGTCTTATGTGAAGAGGCAGTCATGGCTAAATTGAAAGTTGTTTTAAATCTTCATATTACGAGCGGAATCAAAAATCTGGCGCAACCTCATTTGTTCATGATAGATGGAAAGATAATACTGTCATATAAACATGGGTAAGAACCGATAGAAAGCTAGATCTATGCTGAGTGTTACGCTAATCAAATATATCTCTTCCTATGTTACCTATAGAATAAAAGAACAGTTTTAAAATGCTCTTGGGCACCCTATGGCGATGCCTGAGAAGGAACAGTGGTACGAATGTTACGTACTTAGGCGTAGCAAATCAAATGATATTATGGGGTATCCAAGGTTCGCCGTAATGCGTAAAATTGAATTTCTTACTTGTTAGTTTTTGAGGGGTGTTATTATGACTGCGGCGTTACGCGCAACATTTTGGCAATGCTTAAAATGTTCATTTCTTGTGTCAATATTTGTTGGAAAACAAAAGTGAAATTGAGTTGTGAGTTGTGTTCATGATTAAAACCTAATAAAATTATTTACTTTTCTGTCAGTAGCAGTTTGCCAACATTAAATTAGATAACACACATAAGCACGAACTTACAAACAAACCGCACAAGTCTGATCATAAATCATTATTAGAGCAAAAATGTACTAAAACGGAAAATTTGAAGAGGAGTTTATGTATTGACAACAACAAAAAAGAAGCAATCGTTTCTTCATTTCAAAGCCCGATTATTGAACTCAAAAAGGAAAGCATTTTTAGGGGGGAAAAAAAAATTAGTTTTATTTACATTATATTCGTTTAGCTAACCAGCTAACCATCACTTAGACTTGATCCAAATCTCGTTCTCATTGCTAACACTTATCGCCGTTTGGATATGTTTTCTAATATTGCAGAGAGTTCTTATATTTAAGAAAGCCCACTATCGGCAAACTTCAGGATCTTTTTATGTCTTATAAGCAGCATAGTGCTCCGCTACACGTTTGCTTCGTTTACATAACATTACACGGGAAGTGGTCGAAAAGGTAATGCAATCCGAACCATTTGCAATAGTAGTCGCCTTTCGGCCAAAGCATGATATTCCAATTTAATTGCATCCTACACACACGAACACAACAAGAGAACGCAGACAGACAGACAGACAAGTGTAAACTGATGCAGAAAATGCTTCTAAATAGTTTAGACAATGATCCCGGATCGGTCGGTAAAGTAAAACTTTGGTCTGTCTTAAGTCTTTCTAGGTATTGTATATATCCGCACAATCTTAGTATTCTCTTGTAGCTGGTGTAGGGTATAATGCAAAAAATATTTGATATGAAGTATTGCTCATCGCTACCTATACATGTTTTTCGCTTGTTGGACATTTTGTCAATGCCAAGCAAAACAAGATATTTTCCTACATACTCGTAAGAAGTCTAGCGCTGCTCAGTGAATGCGGTTCCCATCGATGCAAACAAGTGGAAAGAGTTTGCTGAGTTAGTCGCATGGCTTAAGACTTTCTGGCCGAGTGCATCCAACGCGCCATAAACCCGGAAAAAATGTAAAAAATTACTCTCTGTTTAATTTTGAACACCGAACCGTTGACATTGATTAATTGTTGTTAGTAACGTGCGATGGGAACCGCTTGGATATTAAGAATTATTAATATATAACACCTATCGGGTCCCAGCAAGCACAGAGCTTTTTCTTCTTGCTCATGAATTTTTTGCCCCTGAGGTTCTGAAGACAGGTGCAAACTCTTCATCAGTCAAACAAGGAGAAGATGCTGCTTGCAAATGCTCTTTGTTTGGCACAAAACACAACATCCTCGCTGTCAGAAAGACAGTTTTGCAGTAAGATAGGCAACATGCAGAATGCCTTACGTCCGATTTTCTTTTCACAATCACTTTCTGAATCGATCTAAGTTTGTCTGTTTGTCGTGTTTTGGCCCAATGATCAGCACTGTTGAAAATGGTTCTTCCACTTTCCAAAAAATGCTCTATTTTGAAAAGTCTTTACGTACATAACTGTTGGGATATGTGGAGTATTTAATAACGGGTCACTGTAGTGTGTTTACTTGTTTAAGTTGATTAAACAAATTGCTTGCCCTTCTGCCTACTCTTTTAACGGCTGTTGATTTACTTTTCCTGTTGAACTACAAGTCGCAATTTTCGAGATACTATCTTGATTTGCGGTACATTGACATATTTTGGTTTAAGGATAAGTCTCACCAAAATGTTTGGATCAGACAACTTTTACAATCATTCCCCATACAACAGCATATTTTCGAAACTGGTTGCAAAGCGGTGTAGCTTGTTTAATAGTCGGCTCTGATCGACTGTAGGGTAACGTTCCGCATATTATCTAGTGATTTATGAGTTTACAAGTTCAATTCGAAAGCAATCTTAAAGCACAAGGCACAAGGATGATTATGGCTTTTTTCGGAAAAAGGATTTCATTCTGCCTTGTTTTAAGGCATTGCGTCACTTGGAATATCTGCTGAAGAACTTATTCTTGTACAAGCGAAATGCCATTGAGCATACTGATCGCAATGGAAATGCAACCGCGAATCGAAAACGAACCTCACTAACTGTCTTTAAAAAAAATTGGAAAAAAAAACTTCATATATTTACATATATAACACTTAGAAGATCTTACCATATATAAAACACATTCCCGATATGTCAAGCGAAATCACATAAACCTTTGAGGGAACATTAATTTGTTTTTGAATTTTCTCGGTGCATGTTTGACGAAACGGTTACATCGGAATGGAGTGGAAATTGAGTCAGGCGGACTAGTGTAGATGTTTTACCTATCTTATGGGAGCTACAAAGTCTTACCTGCAAATATGTTGTCCTTAGACGACGCACCTAAACACAGAAAAGTTTTAGTCCAACTTTGAAGCATTTTCTGAACTCTGCTGTATTCAC